CCCGGCATTTCCCCCGTTTTTCAAGATTCCCCTACAGCCACCAGTAAAGGCACCAGTCTGACATGTTCTTGATGGCCCGTCACACAGTGTGAAGGTGAAGGGTGGATCTGGTTTCCCACCAGACCAGAGCCACCAATTATACATAACAAGTGGCAACATTCCAGATGACCAATGCTTATCTGTTGTACTAAGTAGAGCCACACAGTCACCACTGACAGCACTACCAACCCCAGTCAGGAAAGCAGAAGCCATCACACTTCTGCACAGTGACAGAAACTGCCTCTTCTGCCATCAAAGCCATCCTCAGGGCCATGGGGCAGAAATATTTCTCCACCAAGAAAAACTCACAAATCTCACATGTGGGTATGTTAGCTAGCTAAATTTCTAGAGGGTACACATAATTCCTTGCTAGCTTCACTGATGATGCTTTTTTTTTTTTCTGACAATTGATCTTACTTTATTTCTACTGCCTTGTTCAGTTTTTTAAATAGCAGGAACACCAGCGTCTTTGCTTGCAAGTGGAACACCTCTGCAGTTTGCATTCCAACCGCCTGGTCTTGCTTAAGTCAAAATTAAAGCAATTGGTGCTGCCAAACATTACGTTAAGCAAGAGAACTCTATCCTCATGAAATTTTAACTCCCACGGGCTTCCACTGGAAGTTCTGCACATAAATAGTTAGCATCAGTCATCCCTCATCTCGGTAAAGCTGGGTCACCACCACATTTAGCCACAGGGGCCTCAATAAATTGTAAAGAATTCAGCATATAAATGAATGTACATAAACATGAAGAATTCAGATCAGAAAACTCAGTACACTTCCATGACTGATCCCTACAGGCTCCAGGCTGGAGCTGGTTCAGCTGCTGACTGCAGTACCAGTATGGAGGGAGCTGCAGAAGCAGTCCCTCCCCAAAGGCTACAGGAGCTGGATGCTGCTGGGAAGGAAAATTCCTCCACAGAGACCCAGTCCTTGATTGGGACCAGGCTTGTTACCTGTAGGCAAGAAGTGGAAGCTTTAAGTCTTCTGCTCTCAACGCTGTAGTAAGTTAGCGTCACTCCCACAGCTTGCCACTCAGATGAATTGCACAGATTTTTACAGCTGTGCGAGACGGCAAGGAGGCATTCTTTCATATTTGCAATTCGTCACAGGCTCCAAAAGCAGTGCCTGGAAATTGCTTTGAAATTTACTCGATCACATTCCACAATTTCTCCAGGAACTTAACTGATTTGTAGCAGCACAGAGGAAGAGAGCAGACAGCTCACGTGGCTGTGCTCAAAGCTCTGCACAGGGTCCAAATACTTACTGCTGAAGGCTCTTCCTAATGGTTTCTGTTCTGTTAACACAATCAGGTAAATAAAAATAAGATGGGAAATTCAGTAAAGCATCCTTCAGTGCTGTTCAGTGACTATATTACAGCTAATAAGAGACAGATGAAATAAAGGACATATAGCTGTGATTGCAAGAGATACTAACTGCCTTGGCTTGGTAAGGGTAGGCTGAGAGAAACTGTCATTTTAATGCATTTAACGTTTGCGCAGAACTAGCCAGCAAATGAGAAAGCGACTAAGATATGACAGTTTTAAAAAACAAAACCAGCCACCTGCCACCCCCCTCACAAACAAACCAACCAACCCACCAAACAAAAAAACCGCCCCCAAACTCCCTCATGAATTCTTGTCACAGACATAAGAATCACGGAGTTCTGCCCTCAAATTACAAAGTGGCAAATTCTAGCAAGCTGATGAGGCCAACAGCACAGCAAGATTGATAGGAACTGGACTTTTTTTTTTTTTAATGGTTAATAATAACACCCATATGCATCCCAATTAATATATAACCTATATCAATAATTATTTTATTCTTAAAGCCTGGAAGGACAGTGTTGGTCGTGATCTGGGTCTTAGACCAATATTCAGTGTCAAAAGGCACCCATAAGCATGTTTGGGATCAGACCATCCAATTATTTACCCTTTCCTTCTGAGCTGCTGTTCCTGGCCCCTTTCAGAGAAAGGTGTTTCTGGGTATGATCCCACAAAACAATTCCCAGCCAGCAGCAGCTTTCACTGTTGAACTTCTAATCTCCCA